TGTCAGATGAAAAAACATGGTTGTGACCCAATAAGGGGTCGAACCCATCATCCCTGGGTTGAGAGGCAGACATCTAAAACACTACGCCACCACTCCCCTGTAAAGTTTAACACATTTTACCATCAGTTGTTCATATTACAATCATTCAAAATATTTTCAGAGAAGTTGGTAACAAATTATTTTGGTCCAACCAATTGTACTGAAGTAATGAGATATTGTGCCATTTTTTTGTATATTGGCAATATCTCCCCTCCACGAGATTCTGACCCAGAACAATCATATCTCAGAATCTAGGTTTGGCACATCAATATATTTTGACTAGTTAACGAATATGTCTTCATATATATATATATTGTTAATCAGAGTGCCTTACTGTTAAAGATAAACATTAAACACTTTAGCAAAAGACAAAAGACATTTTGGCGAGTTGTGCAATTTTTTTACAAAGGCAAAGAAGGAAAATTTAAACCCTAATTTAACAACTTGAAGACACTTTTTGAATAGCTCTGCTGGGGGTATAGTCGAATAAGGAAAGGACATGGAAGAACAAAATCTTTTGTAAATGATAAATTTTATAAGAAGTTGTCAGTCACCAATGATAAACATGCTTTACTGTAGATATTGTAGTTCCTTGTTTATCTTCCAATGATCATAATTTTATGCACTTTTATATAAGGAGTGCCATGCTTATTCATTTAAATGGCCTTGGTCGGTTTTAAGCCAAAAACCCAGTTAGAAAATTAACTAACCGGAAACCAAGGTTTTTAGTACATGTATAATGGTTTTAAACATTACTTTTGTTTTATATTTATGATAAGATATGACATTTTGTTTGTATTTTAGTTGTATTTTTTCCGATTGCATGCTATGTTATTATGAACGGTATGGTCCTAACAGACAATGGTATTCCATAATCAAATATATGTTTTGTACTTCTTGTCAATAACAAAATACGAACAAAATGTGCTATCTTCTCATAAAAGTTTAAAATCTAAGAATTCTTTCAATACGGTCTTTAAATGTTTTACATGGTTATCTAATCATTGTTTTTATAGAAATGGTTTGCATTTTTGCTAATCGTGACAAGTACTCCTATTTAATATAAACCTATTTGCTTAAATTGTATCAGCCTTCTGAACAAAATACATGCTGTTATCCACTTACAAGAGTTAAATTGTTGTTGAGCTGCTTTGTAATAAAATTGGGAAGGAAATCATTTAGTAGTGTTCAACCTCTAGTAAGAATTCTACAGACAGCCGCCATGAAAGTGACATAACTTCACAATAAAAATGACACATTCATTGTCACTGCAAAGAGAATATTTCAACTAAATTACACCTTGTTCTCTTTAAACTGCAATAATTAACATTGTGTAATGACAACATTTGAGCACTATTTTCATTGTATTTACATGCAGATCTCTCACGATTGTTAAATATGTTAACTTTTTATCTCTCCTTCTTACACTAAAACATGACAAAAATGTAGCATTCTAAAATAAAACATGACGAAAATGTAGCATTCTAAAATAAAGAGGAAATAATTACTGCGATCAATTTTAACAAGGGGCAGATAATTTGTCTTTTTATTAATAACCTCAGACTGGTACCAAAAAAAAGGTATAAATCTTTATGTTGAGCCATAATGTTTAAAGCCACCTTCTGTTTTTCTGAAGGTTAAATATGTTAATTTCTGATCAATCTTTCACATAAATGTCAAATCAAAGGAATAAAAATGGAAAATGAAATTTTCCGTCGATAAAATACATAAACACTAAGGAAACCCCTAGATATCTCTAATCTGCCAGTCAGTTCTATATATTTAAATTTGTAGGGCGGTAGATTTGTTTACCGATATTCTATTTTTAGAAACAAACGTAACTTTCACATTATAAAAAGCTCTCTTGACGCTGTTTTAAGGAAGTCTTACAGTGATATTATGCACTTATCAAAGATAAAATTGCTGAATTACTTAGTTTGACACTACACAGCATTGTTTTACCTGAAGAAAATCAAATCTTAAGGCCACTTTAAATGTTTTAGTTAGCTTTTTTTTACATCTAGACTGCTGAAGGGTACACAATTTATCCTTGCAACCAGTGCAGACCAAGATTCATGCCCTTTGATCATGGTCTGCACTGTTCTCTATTCAGTCAGCACAATGTTATCTTGAAATTATCCCTAAAAATAGATACATGTATCTCCGGGTAAGAATAATCATTAATGTTAATCTCTGATCTGCATGTATGTTGAAGGTTGTCTGCAAAACTGTCACAAGTCCTTCTTTATTTTATATCAGTTACTGCAGTTTTGCGGTAAACCCTCCAATTGTGTATATCTTCAGAATACAAATATAAATTTTAATAATATCTAAAATTTGAGTACAAATGAATCTAATATAAATCTTAAAAGGGAGATGATTTAATAAATTAATTTGATTGTTGTTTTTTTAAAGGAGATAATCTTTAGGACAATTTGGCAAGTTTTTTTCCTTTCAAGGAAGGTTTATAAAAAGTACAAATTCACTATTACTCTCTGCTACATGTATGTCAGATAACATTAATCAATGATAAGAAAAACTATAAAATGTTTTTCCAAGTTAAATACATAGATTTAATAAAGAAAATGTGTGGTAAATCATTCATTTTTATACAGGTTTTTCCTGTCATATTTGAAACAGGTCCGTTGCGTAATTTGGACATTTTTCAAGCTTATAATGCAGAATGACTGAAACTTGACAAAAGCCAGATTTTGAAATTTGACTTAATACTCATGAAATTATAATGGAAAAAAATAAATTTGGAATGGGTCTTTTCTAATTAACATATCTTCAAAGAAGAATAACAATGTCTTGGAAACTGGAAAGTGTCACAAAAGTTGTTATATACCTTGAAGACAATTACCTTAAAGAGACCAAAGTTTTCCTCTCTTTAATGTTACGATATGAACTTAATGAACCATGAATCTAAGAATAGAAAACCGTAAAATAATGACTCTAGTATTAATAATTCATAAAGGCTAAATATATACTTCCTTCATTTATTGCACTACAATAAAACAACTATCAATAATTAATTAAGATGACAGTCTCTACTCTAAATAAAGAAGTATTGACAGTATTGACTGAAGACACCATTTTGTTTACATACATGGAATAAACCGTCACCAATTAATATTGACTTGATCGTAAAAAAATCATACCAAGTTTGCAATAAAAAAAAAATCAATTCAATTGGCGGGCACTAGATTCTTGTGTGTTATGGGGTTTATATTATCCTGGCAAAATTATGCAAAAATAAAATATCCCTTGATTTTTTAATTGACAAATTTTTCTACATCACCAAAAAGCTTTCAATCAGCCTAAATGATATTACCATCAAAACCTTTCCCCATTTTCAATTTTTCCAACAAATGTCCAACTTCATAACAGCCAGTATTTCTAATTTTGCCAAAGACCAAATATTCCTCCGGGACTCCATGTCACTGATAAAATTCTATGCAACAGTGACATTTCTTATCAGCCTATTGGATGATTTGAATTTCAATAAGCAGAAAAGTTCAAGCATTTATTCATAACATGATTATGTTTTCCCAAGATATATATACTTAACCAGTGCATACATATTTCTGATCCCAGTAATTGTCAAATAACGGACAAAAAACATTTTTGTGCTGCATTTAGAATTGATTAGAGCCAATAAAATATATCATTTGATGCTATGACTTGCATATATAAAGCAAATTGTTTCAGTTAACAGATGTAGTTTTGAAATCTGACCAGTGATAAGAACTCACAATTTAATATTATACAACTACCAGTGCTATGAACTCACAGATATTGTATTGAATGCTGACCAGTGCTAAGAACTCACAGATATTGTATTGAAGGCGGAACAGTGCTGAGAACTCTTCAACATTTTCTACAGTGACCAGTGCTAAGAACTCACAGATATTGTATTGAAGGCAGAACAGTGCTGTGCACTCACAGATATAGAACTGAAGCCTAACCAGTGCTAAGAACTCATACACATACACATAATAGTAAAGACTAACATGTCTGACAGTTTCAGTGTTCCCTGTATTACTAGATCAGCTAGCTCACTGCTAACTCAAGGACAGTGATATATTAACACTGAGTTAACTGTAGACTGACTAATTACACAGGCCTCTTTTTAGTGCATGACAGTCTTTATTTAGAACTGACAAACAAAAAAAGACAAAAAACAAGAGGGCCATGATGGCCCTGGGGTCGCTCACCTGAACATAGGCCCTCAGGGCCGGGCCAGTTTAAACCAAAGGGCTTTTATTTGAACAAACTTTGAAGACACCCATTAGAAGATATTTCATGATGTTAAGATTTTACTATACACAAATTATGAATAACAATGACTTTTGCCCCTCCCTCCCCCTGGCAGGGCCAATTTTAACCCAAGGGCTTTTATTTGAACAAACTTGGTAGACATCCATTAGAACATGTTTCATGCTAAATATCTCAGCTCTAGCTCTTTGGGTTCTTTAATAGAAGATTTTTAACTTTTTACTCTATGTATATAGGGAAAATCAATGACCCCTGGGACGGGGCCAATTTTGACCCCAGGGCTTTTATTTGAACAATCTTGGTAGACACTCACTAGAAGATGTTTCATGCCAAATATCTAAGCTCTAGCTCTTTGGGTTATCTAGAAGAAGATGTTTAAAGTTTTTTCTTTTGGTTGCCATGGCAACCAGAGTTCTGCATGGAATGGAATTCTTTGAACAACTTTGTTAAGGCTTCACACAAGGAACATCCCTGTGAAGTTTCATTATGATCTGCCTTATGGTTTCAGAGGAGATGTCGTTTGAAAAGTGTGAACGGACAACGGACGACGTACGACAGACGACGGACGAAGAGTGATCCTAATAGCTCACCCTGAGCATATGCTCAGGTGAGCTAAAAATCTATAGGGCACGGGTGCATTGAATTTAGTTGTATTCAACCTTAGTGACAAATGAGCAGCTTACCTGAGGGTGTGATGACAGTTTTTGATGGTGTTCCTCACTCCTTTCTGCAGATCTACGGTGAACATGTTCATGTTCAAACAAATAATGATCTTCAAGTGTGCCGATCTGAAAGTACAAGGAACAAAAAATAAATGTGTTTAATAACACCTGATAAGTAACAATAAATTAGTACTTACCAGTAGATAATTGCCCAGGACAAGCAACCCAATATTAACCATCATGCATTATATATTAACTGAGGAAGGTACCATAATTATATAACATTAGTCAATAACATCATTTGAGAAGTGGCGGCTTGGCTGTGTGTTTAACACATCAGACTAGGATTGATGGCTCTGTCAGGTGCAAGCCGTTGTTTCCATAAGCATAAAACTTACACTGATTGGTAAAGACTGCTTTATTCCAGGAAATGTTTCAAGAGCATGTCTTAGTTGAGTTTACACTAATTTATTTCAATTTGATAATTTATTTCAATTTGATTGTTTTGGAAGCTATAATTAGTTTACTGAAACACTCTCGAGTCAGTTCCTGAAACCAACCAGTGTAACTGAGCCATGAGTGTAAAGTTTCTTGCTCACAGAAACAATGGCTTGCCCCATATGACACTGGGTTTAAGCCCACACACCAGCAATCCTTAAATTTGTAATCGGACGTGTTAACATAACCACTTAGTTTTAGCTTGTGCATATGATGTCCTACGCAATCAAACAAAAACAAATTCTGTATAACATAAGAATACAACTAAGGTCATTATACTCGACAAACACTGATTATATCAAAACCTGGATTGATAACAACAAAAAAAAAACCCTAAAAAACAACAATCAGTGAACTATAATGCACCACTACATTCCTAACTCCACCCTCCTTACCAGAATACCAGAATAGCCAGGACTTGAACTTCTGAATCAATTCAGAGAGGAAGTGGGGGGGCATTTATTCAATAGGAAGGACCTTTATTACTTTACTAGACAATATGCATGTACAGTATTACATGTACCGTAAAATTCCTAATAAACGCCCCTCCCCTAATAAAAGCCCCCCCAGGCTTTTTGATATGGAAAAAAATCTGCTCATGAGTGGTGAACTCTTTAATAAATCCGTAATTTTATTCAAATCCTTCAGAATCCATTTCATTTCATAGTAAACACAAAAATGTATCACATGAACTTTAAAATCTTAACACATTTAAATGTTATTACCAACCCATGTTACACTAAATCTATTTTCAATGATTTTTGGATTTAGGAAAAACGTGTTGTAATAATAGCCCCCCTTTTGGAAAATGTTTAGCCCCCGGGGGCGTTTAATAGGAATTTTACGGTACTTGTTTTGGAAGGCAAAAGAGACTATTCTATAGATTTTTATTTTATTAGAAGTGTTTCATGTTTTGTCACCCATGATAAATGCTATGACAGCACACCGGGAAGCAATCAATATCCTCACTCCAGGGCATACAGTCTCTCTTACAATCAAAGTAATCTTCCATAGTAAATAAACATACCTAAATGTTTTTCTTACTGAATGCCTTCACAAAAATTTGTCACAAAAACCAAAATTTAAAGTTTTGAAATTAAGAGCACACAATTACAAAACATGTGAACATGTAAGTTTAAACTCTTTAATACATGCATATTCAATTGTATATTTACAAAATGTAAAAACACTTGCCAAGTGCAGTGTATATTCTAGATATTATCATTATTATTCTATTTTTTGGTTGGGTTTTAAGTAACAAAGATACTGTTGAAGTTATAGATTTTGCTATAAATAACAATAAAATCTAATATCACATTACTTATGACTGGGTATGTTTTCTTTCTTAAATAATTAAGTTATAGAATAAAGAATATGTTATTAAACAAATAATTACTCTAAGAATAGAATTTCGAAAGTTTGCGAATCTGGCCATACAAAGGTCACTGGTGGTTCGTTACCATGCCAGAGACAAGTTTGTTTTTTTTCTGTGTCAATTGTTCTTCTTATTAAATGCATTTGCATTAAAAACTTCTAGGACTATGCCACTATAATGATAATGAAATGCATATTTTACAGGAGCAAATTCATAGGTCATATATTTATAAGGACAAAGACGTGGGCGGCATGGTCATTGTAATTTTGGTTCATACATGACTTGATTTAATAGAGCTGTATAAATGTATAGTGACCAATTACCTCATTAATTAGTATTCATATATGCGCAGACTACCATCAAAATTTGCATACTAACAAAAACACAAAATGATGCCTTTTCATTGGTCATTTAGCAGTCAATCAACGACAGAAAAACTATTACATCATTCGCCAACATACATGTAAGACATACATATATGTAATACATTGTAGTTGTAAGAAATCAAAATATCACTTAAAATATGCATATTTTGACTTTTCTTAATCTGAAAACAGACAATCCGGGTTATTATAAGTACCACATTATGACGTTTATCAAAACATCCAAATTATGGCCTTATCATCGTTCTTGATACAGGACGGTTTTTCTGAAGTTATGATATGAGCCACGTCATGACAAAACCAAAGTAATGCGTTTACGACCAGCATGGATCCAGACCAGCCTGCCCATCCGCACAGTCTGATCAGCATCCATGCTGTTCGCTAGCAGTTTCTTTACTTGTTATAGGGTCTGTAAGCGAACAGCGTGGATCCTGATCAGACTGCACGGATGCGCAGGCTGGTCTGGATCCATGCTGGTGGCAAACCCATTATGTTGGTTTTGTCATGACACGGCTCATATGTGTAAGGGTAATTTCATTCAAACGAGGTTGGAAATTCAATTAAATACTTGTTTTAATGCTGTAATTTATGTTGTAAAGTGTAAACAGGAACTTTGCCATATATGTAATGCAGTCATTTTCTGCACCTATCGCTAATTTCAGATTATTCCACCTTCTGACTTAACCTCCTATTTTTACGTTTTGGACTTTGAAACGTTTTGGCTCCTCGATGCTAGAGCTCGTTTACAAACTACACTCATTAATTTTAAACCCATGAAAACATGGCATTTGCAGTTTTGAATGAACTAGATACAAACTGCATAAACATAAACAGTGAGACACATGACTACGATAGAATATCTTAGTGGAAATAAAATAAACAAGCAATTATCATAGTATTGCAAGCAATCCATAAGTCCCCTACCGGTAAGAGCCAAAGCAACATTTTGAAGGGCCATTGGCCATTCACTAAATAGGTTCCTATTTTAAGTAAATTTGTTGAAAAAGTTCTTTAAAAGTGATCACAGGAAACAGTTTTTATGTACAGACAGACGGACTGAAGGACACTCTAAAGTTATTTTTTAAACATCCCTGTTATCAAAATATAACATTTTTAAAATCCTATCATGATTGAAGAAGTTGGAGTAAAAATTACCAATTTTCTCAAAAAAAAGTTTAAGTTAAAAAGGGGCATAATTCTGGAAATAGTCTTGCTAGAGTATTGAACACTCATAAATGTTGAGTGACAATAAGAAACATTTATATGAAGTTTGAAGTAGATACATTCAGAAAAAGAAGTTATTAAAGAAACAATGATTTTTTCATGAAAATTTTAAGTTCAAGGGAGGTAATTCTGATAAATTTTGTGCTAGAGTTGTAAACCTTGTCACATATGATGTGGTTGATGACAAGCAACTTATATTTTAAAGTTTGAAGAAAATACCTTAAGAACTAAAGAACTTATAGTGAAAAAACTTAAAAACTAGAATCAGAAATCTTGAAATTCAGTCTATTTGTTGCCATAGCAACCAGAATTTTCAACATAGGAAGATAAGAAAAGGATGTGCATAATTTCCATACTGCCATCTACCCATATGTCAAATTCATAAACATATTTTCAGTACTTTTTGTGTTATCACTGGATCCAGTTTATGTGTAAAATTTGCCATATTTTCCGCCTATATGTTGCCATAGCAACCAGAAATTTCAAAATAGAAAGAACAGAAAAGGACGTGCATAATCTCAAGACTGCCATCTACCCATATGTCAAGTTTCATAAACATATTTTCAGTACTTTTTGCGTTATCGCGGGATCCAGGTTATGTGTAAAATTTGCCATATTTTCAGTGTATTTGTTGCCATAGCAACCAGAATTTTCAACATAGGAAGAAAAGAAAAAGACGTGCATAATCTCCATACTGCCATCTATCCATATATCAAGTTTCATTAAAATATTTTCAGTACTTTTTGCGTTATCGCGGGATCCAGTTTTGTGGACAGACGGACTGACGTACGGACGAACAGACGGACAGACAGATGGACGGTAAACCTAAAGTCCCCTCCGGTAAACCGGTAGGGGACTAAAAAGAACTTATAGTGAAAAAACTTAAAAACTAGAATCAGAAATCTTGATATTCAGTCTATTTGTTGCCATAGCAACCTGAATTTTCAACATAGGAAGATAAGAACAAGAGCACCGCTAGGCGGAGCATTATATGCCCGAAAGTGTTGTTTTTTTAGTAAGGATGAAGCATTTGTAAGACATGGGAATTCGCTGTTCATCCTATAAAATTTTACAGCTGTAGGTTGATTAATACTTAAGTTATTAATAATGAACTGAACCTTTGACCTTGTGACCCCAAAATCAATAGGGGTCTTCTACCTTATATGGACAATCATCCTATGAAGTTTGAATATTGTGGGCCAAATGGAACTTCCGTTATGCTCCGGAAACTGTTTTTGGTTTTAAGGTAAATGTTACCTTGACCTTTGACCTAGTGACCCCAAAATCAATAAGGGTCTTTTGCCCAATATGGACAATCATCCTATGAAGTTTGAATATTGTGGGCCAAATGGAACTTAAGTTATGCTCCAGAAACTGTTTTCAGTTTTAAGGATATAGTGACCTTGACCCTTGACCCCAAAATCAATAGGGGTCTTCTACCCAATATGGACAATCATCCTATGCTGTTTGAACACTGTGGGCCAAATGGAACTTAAGTTATGCTCCGGAAACTGTTTCCAGAATCAAGGTAATAGTGACCTTGACCTTTGACCTTGTGACCCCAAAATCAATAGGGGTCTTCTACCCAATATGGACAATCATCCTATGAAGTTTGAACATTGTGGGTCAATTGGAACTTAAGTTAT